TTGGGTTTTGTTTAGATTAAAGTTCGCCATAGTTGCAACTTCGCGTACTTCGTTTGTGTTCAACGACCAGACAAAGGCGTCACAGAACCCCACCTTGATGAATAAAGCTTTTCTCTTATATTCACAATATCCATATTGCAATCTTAGTTTATTGCTTGTTCTTCGTTTGCCTGCAGGAAACAGACCTTTGTGGTCAGGTTGATCATGCTCCGGCGTGGTCAATAACCTCTCAGAGTTGGTTTAGCGATTGCTAAGGCGCAACGTCCTCGCACGTTCGTAGTCGGATCGTCAAAGTCGACTTCCTCCGAAACAATAGCCACCATCTCATTGAAAGATGGGACACCTTTGCCTCTATCAGCGGCGGTCTGACGGCAGCGACGGCGGCTAGGTTAGGAGCGCGGCGGAGATGCTCGAAGTAGGCAAAGAACCTTGACAGCGTGACAAAGACCGGTGCGGACGGTGGCGCTCACGCACCAAGGGAGACGACGCGACGCATACCACAGGAAGTCAACGCGCGGGGACGATGAAGTGGACCGCGGGCCGCGGCACTACGACCCGAAGGGGCGACGCGACGGCGGCGGGCAGGTCGGGGCGACGGCAGGAAGACCTCGGGGCGGCGGCGAGGACAGTGAGCCGCGGCGCTACGGCCCGAAGGGGCGGTGCAGCGGCGGAGCGCAGGTCGGTGCAACCGCGGGGACGGCCTCGGGGCGGCGGCTGGGACCGCGTATCGCAGCACTACGGCCCGTAGGGCGACGCAACGGCGATGCGCGAGTCGATGCAGCCACGAGGAGAACCACGGGGCGGTGGCGCTGCGGCCCGACAGGGCGATGCAATGGCAGCCTGTTGCTCGGTCGATGGAGGGGCACGCTGAACTCGGGGACGATCTTCACGGGTCCTGCGAAGCCGCGCGTAACCGACAGATCAGGTTGGTCGCGCGGCGTAGATCAGGTGGATCGCGCGCCGTAGATCAGGTGGATCGCGACGGAGAGTGGGTGATCAAGTCGATCGCGCACGAGGTCGGGGACGCCGCTCGGTGGAGGCGGAATGGCGGAGGAGACCGAGATGAGGCCGCCACCGACGGACGGCATGGGACGTCGTGCAGACGAGCATGTCAGCACCGGCGCCCGGGCTGCGAGGCTCGAGCGACCAACAGAGCAGCGGCACCCGAGTTGAGGCAGACGACGAGTCTGACGCAGCGGTCCTGACGCAGCCGTCCCGACGCAGCCGAGGACGAGGCCGTCGAGGTAGACCGCCGGGCCGCCATGCTGACGCGGCGGAGGCGGGTGGCGTGGATTGATTGGCAGGTCGACGCGCGAGCGGCGGCTATGATTGACTGCCGCATGGCGCGAGGCCGTCGGGTGTAGGCGATGCAGGTGTCCTGGTCGGAGCAGGGCGACGGGCGGGCCGGCGCGCGGACGACGGCCTTGAGGGCTGCCTGTCGCGCGAGGCCGTTGGGTCGGTGAAGTAGCCGGCTGGTCGCGCGGTGTCGAAGTAGAGGCGCGGGGTGTCGATGGCGGCGGCGGCGAATGACGCAAACCCATCAAGCATAGATAGAAAAACCAAAAAGAAAAATGCCGATCAAAACGACCGGCGAGAGAGCGAAAAAACCCGGAGCAAGGGCTCGGGAAAAATACTCTCTAGGGCAGCGGACCAACACGGCCGGCGGACGAACCCTAGGTACGGGCGGCGCGGCCCCCGGCGACGGTCATGGAAGCCGACCGCCCCGGGGGCGGAACGGGGGTGCGGAAGCGGCGACGGCTAGGGTTTATGATCGAGATAAGGTTGATACCATGTTAGAAGGGAGAGAGAGATTTGATGGAATAGCTGATATATTGCTTGAGCCTCGTGGGCATATATATATAGGAGTACAAAGATCAACTTAAAGTACAAGATAAGGCAGGACCAAATCCTAGTCTATCATATACTTTCTAATAATCCTTATACTCAACATAAACGATCTTATGTTTCTTTATTATTGAATTTTATTCGAAAGAAGATTCTAACCATGTAATTTTTGTGACATATAAATCATAAATTTTTGTTGCATTCTCATTTTCCTTCCCTAACCCATGAGGCCATTACGGCTAGGGCAAACTCTTCTCCTCCAAACTTCATTGGTCAACTTGTGGATTCGCCTTCCCTCTATTTGTCGCTCCGGCGGTTGGTGACGGGGAGGGGAATCCCGGTGCCTCCGCTTCGATTAGTAGTTTAGGTTAGGGCTTTTTTAGTCATCGCTGGTGCGGCGCTCGGAAGGATGGCGACACTTCTTCTTTAAGTTTGTCAATCGAGCTCCGATCCTCCTCGAGTTCATCCTTTTGGATGTTGTCAACCGCAGCTCCGACGTACATTCATGCCGTCTCCTTGGGACGGGAGGTTAGGGTTTTTCGTCATGCGACGAGATTTGGTTCATGTGCTTCAAATGAAAGAGTTCAACGGCGACGAGTGCAACTCTAGGGCGTTGGTCCTTAGGGGCACATGCACGTTGTCATAGACAAGGTCAAGCCAGCTCCAATAGGAGAGCGGCGATAGTAGCGCGTCGACAACTCGTTCTCGCGGTAGTAGTGGTCATTCGATGGTCTTAGAATCTCGATGCAATTTTTATTATGTTTAAGATACTTTGTATCTCCGATAAACTTTTATAATAGATATGTCATATGATACTTCAAAAAAAGTTCGTACAAAAGACTTGTGCTTATCGTATATGACCTCAACAATCTCTTTGAGCTAGTACTTGACATGCGAGTGACTTGTAGAGCCGTAGAGGCTTCTTCCAACAAAATATGGCTGCGTGTTAGCATGTGCCACGTCACAAACAACTACCGTTGTCTGATCCTTCAGTGATCACTCCCAACTTTGTGCCGAGATACAGAGACACTAGTAGCGTCTGGCTCTAGACAGTTCATCAGGCCTGCCTAGACGTGTCTTAAAATAAACATTTCTTCCTTTGTCAACATTATCCAAATAACCAGTTAATTATTTTCTCAATGGTTGCGTTTGGGTCATGTGCTCCCATGACGAGTGTATCGGGTGACGGGGTCGCTGAGTCAAAGCAGAGCCCATTTTGACAAAACAGAAATATATGAACTGAAAAGAATACCCACTGGGGATCAACCATGTTTGATTGGTTCCGCCACCTGAAGAAACTGCCAAGGAAAAGTGTTCAGAAAAGGAGCAGCCAGCAATGAACCACAGCACGTCAGCATTTAGCCCTGATCACGTATGATTTCGATGTAGACCTGTGCTGCCAGTAAAATCCCCTAATTTAATGAACAAAGTAATTGGCCTGTGCTGCGGGTAACAGTTGCCCCTCGTGTCCGTCTTGAAGATCAACTTGGTCTCAAATGGGAATTTCGACCATTCAAATGGAACCACGATCATACTTGTACCTGTACTTGCAAAATGAAGTCGACATATCTCTGTGGTTTGGTGGCCATGCAAGTTGCCCAGAGACGACAACGACGGCTCGTCGTCGGCCAGACGCGCGCCACCGCCAGACCGGCCGGGCGTCTAGGGCACAAAGGAGGCCAGATTTTACTAATGAAGGCGATAAGCCCAGTCGGTCTCACCATGTGATGAGTCATTGTTAAGCGCTTGCCAGTGCCCTGCGAATGCTGTCAAAGTTTAGGCCAGAATGCCTCGGTCACTGTCATCCAGCCAGAGCGTCATCCGCCAGCTGCACTAGGAAAAGTAGAATTAACAAAAAATTAGTAAATGTTATTATTGGTCCAATAATTGTTCTAGTGGGCAAACTGGTTCTTGAAGAAAAGGTGCAGCAATGGTTGGTGCTGGAATTGTGTTGTCAAGGCTACTGCCGCCCTAAACAAATAATTAAATATGCAAAAAAATTGTCATGGTTACCTTTTTCAAATCATTATCTTTACAGAAAGATTGAAATCAACGATCATTGCTTATGTGTGCTTGAAGAATTAAATTCCAAAAGAGAGATATATGACATGGTCAGAAAATGGGAAGAGTCTTCATAATTTGTAGTAAAAGGCAGTAAGACAAAAAAGGATCTTTGCCATATCAATTGTAATAATTGTCTCGAGGCAAACATGCGAGGAAAATATCAGCAAAAGATGATTCATTTTCAATAGCAAATTGTAAAAGGCAGTTAGCTATCTCAATTGTTAAAGGCAAGTACACAACCACAGCCCACAGCCATGTATGAACAACAGTAATGGATGTGTCTTGAGCAATGAAAAAAAATAGCATGCTATGACAAAATAGCGCAGCCCTTAAAATCCGCTATAGCGAAGCCATATCATGCTATAGAGGATGATTGTACACTAATTTCATTTAGCGGGACATTGCTCAGAAGTCAGAACGCTATAGCGTGCTATTCAAATCGGTGGCCTTGAGGTATTTAGGTCAAAGTGCATCATAACGTTTACAGATTAGCCAAAAAACAAAGGGGAGAAGCAAATTCAACACCATTCTGTTTGTACAGCTAGGAAGAAATTTGGTCATATAATAGCTTTCATCCATTCAATATTAAATATTTCCAGCGAAAAACATATCCTCCACAAAAGTTGCTAGTTGATAACCTCTATCGAACGGCAAGATTGTTGCCAAAGGCTGCTTTCGGTTGTTTGAATGAAACACATCTCCAAAATCCAGCTTCCAATTCCAAACGTGAGAACTACAACAAGTAAACAACATTAAGAACTGAACAGCAGAAAGTTTGCAAGGACTGCTGGAACGCCATAGCAATTAGAAAATGGAGACAGGTACACATATATGATCTACAAGGAACTTCTGCATAGGGCAGCACTGCTTACAAGGCTAAAATCCTCTGCCAAATTTGAAGCCAGTTTCCTAGAAATTTAGATTTGTAGTCATACTCAAGATAGGATTACAGTATTCGCAATGGTGAAGCAGAATACAAGTTAGGCAAAGGAAATACACGAGAAAAGTAGCTGGTAGGAACTCTAGCTGCTCGAAAACGTCAGCACATACCGGTTAAGAATATACAGAAACCTCTGTTCAAACATTGGACATTAGACGTGCAGTTTCGTTCTCCACACAGAACCAACAACTTTCTTAGGAGTTGGATTATCAGGTCCCCTATCCCTCTGCCCAGAAGTGAAATAGAGCCACCCATCCCAGTAACCAGCTAGGGCTGTCTTGATCCGGAAAGGCATACGACCAATGACTGACCATTTCTGCAAAAATGGCACAGCAAATGTTAAGCCACTTAGTAATGTCCTAATATTCAGAGGAAAATAATCATAACATAGCTAATATGAACAAGCAAAATAATTTACATATAAGATAGTAGAACACACCAATGTTTCCAAATCAAACCGGAAGACTTCACCAACAAGAATCATCTTTTTGGTGATAGGGTGCTTCTCGGTAGTTCCACCAACAATTACTATGGAGTTATTAACAACGACCCATGCAAATTCTATGTGGGAATCTGGCTTTGGCATTGGAGACAGCTGCTTCCATTTAGCTTCATTGTCTAGCATATACACATCACCATAAACAACCTGCAAAACAATATCTAACATAATCATGCTTCTGGTAAAAACTTTACCGACAGACCGTGAATCAAGACTTTATCAGTTATAGGTTAAAGCCTGAATGCAAGAAAGCACATTTACTAGGTGCAGCAACTTTTTTGTTAGAGAAAACGTATGAGTATTTAACTTTCCTGTGTATGCTTTATATTATACGTTACTAAGCATGGACAAATGCATATCTTGGTTGCAAAATAGAGAAATGCCGTGTACAGGAAGCACTCTTATATTTCAAGGTTTGATGTTTATTGCATGCACATACATACCTCATGCCTCCTTGCGCATTTAAAAATAGGTGACCCTGGTTTAGGCATGAAGTCTCCCTCTTGACCACCAATTACAAAGAGTTTGTCATTAGCAACAACACATGCCCTGCCAAAAGATGGATGTAAGAAATTATCGACATATTTGTTCATCTGAAAATAATTCTAAGAAGTATCCCCTATCCACGGAGAGGGTGCCAATAGTACTACAAATCAATGGATATTTAGTCTTCAAGCACAAGACACCTATTTTTATTCTTAGAAATCTTAGAAAGAGGTGAATATCTCAATGGGCAATTGCATATAAATAACGCATCACAATAGCCACACAAATTCACCTATGAGGTCCACCACGTGGTATCGGTATTTCAGCTCGCCACTCATTCTCCAATGCTTTGCCATCCTTCACAGCAAGGCTCTAGTGCTCTAATCCAGGTTCATGGCGGTGTTCTTTGCCACCACCCATCACATGAAGCCGCCCACGCCAAAGTTGAGTAGCTGGCGCATACCTACAGCATGTTATAGAGTAAGCTTTGGATCTTGATAGTTATAGCAGCATATAGTATAAGCATGGACCATTTCATAGCTCCAGTGTCAAGGGCCTCGGTGCCCAAGACAGCAGGACCTCGACTACGTAGTTCGTAGTCGCGGTGGATAGGAGCGCTAGGGTTTTTGCCTGGCTGCTCTATGATGCGGGAGGGGAAGATAGAAGGAAATAACTTTATTGCTTATCCCTAAAGGGTGCTAACTATCTGATATATAAAGGCCCCATGGGCTAATAACAAACTAGAAACCTATACGAAATAAACTAGTCTAGGAACTAATGTGCCCGGATCAGGACTCCTGTCCAGCCTGCGCCTTGCCTGATGCGGCCGTCGGCTGCTCCTGGCCGCGCGGCCCACGTCTGTAAGACGTGCCCCACATGACATCTCTCCCCCCCTCGACGAGCAGCTCGTCCTCGAGCTGAAAAGCGGGGTAGCGCTCGACGAAACTGTCAAGATCCTCCCATGTAGCTGACGAAGCTGCTTCACCCTTCCAGTGGACGAGTAGCTGGCGAACGCCGCGTGCTAGGCGCGCACGAGTCACGCGCTCTGGTTCTGGAACAGCCGCCCCGTTGTGGATCGAAGGCAATCCCGGCGGTGTAGTTGGAGGAATGCCGAAGAACTTCTTGAGGAGGCCCACGTGGAACACGTCATGGAGGCGCGAGCGTGCCGGAAGCTCAAGACGGTATGCCACGTCGTTGATCACTTCTGAAATGCGGTACGGCCCATAGAATCGTGGCTTGAGCTTGCCCCTGGTTGGCAAGTGGAGAGAGGACGCGGCGCGCTGTCGAAGGCGAAGCCAAACCCAATCGCCCACCTCATGCCGAATGTCCCGATGACGTCTGTCGTAGTAGGACTTATAGACCGCCTGGGCCTGTTGTAGACGATAGCGGACGTCCTCGATAAGTTCGTCGCGCTCAGCCATGCTCCTGGCCACTGCAGCCACCCGTGTGTCGCCGGGCTCGTAAGAGCGAATAGTGGGAGGGTCACGGCCATACACAAGCTTGAACGGAGTCTCTTGGGTTGCTGTCTGGTAGGCGGTGTTGTATATGTACTCAGCCCAGGGAAGCCACCGGAGCCACTGCTTGGGACGATCCCCGGTAAGACACCGTAAATACATCACAATGATCTTGTTAGCAGCCTCCGTTTGACCATCCGACTGCGGGTGAAATGCGGACGTCATGTGCAGCTTTGTCCCCGTGAGGCGCATGAGCTCTTGCCAAAAAGCGGAGGTGAAGACGGGGTCGCGGTCAGAGACCATGGACTGTGGCACGCCGTGGAGACGAACACCCTCAGCGAAGAACACCTGTGCCACTGACTCTGCCGTGTATGGGTGGGCTAACGCCACAAAATGGCAATACTTGCTGAAGCGATCCACCACGGTGAGGATGACAGACTTCCCGCCTACTCGAGGAAGCGCTTCCACGAAGTCGATGCCGATGTCAGTCCACACGCCCGTGGGTACCGGCAGCGGCAGGAGCAGCCCAGCGGGGTGCAAGTGCTCGGACTTGTACCGCTGGCAAGTACCGCAAGTGCGGATGTACTCCTGCACCGTCTTGCGAAGATTAGGTGCGTGGAAATCGCGGCGAAGACGATGCAATGTGCGCAGGACGCCTTCATGCCCATCATCGTGCACGGCACTGAGAATCTCCTGGAGTAGCGGGGATGACGGCGGAATGTAGAGGCGGCCGTTGAAAGTAACGAGGTCGTCGGAGAGCGCCCAAGGCTGTTGCCGCGCACCTGCCGTGATATCCTCCCGCAGTGCGACGAGCGCCGGATCAGTGGACGTCGCTTGCCGGAGGCGATTGATGAAGTCGAAACGAGGCCCTGAGACCGCCATGATCGTCGTCTCCTCCGTGTCACGGCGGGAAAGTGCATCCGCCACCGTGTTGGTACTACCTGCCTTGTACTCCACCGTAAAGTCGAATCCCAGGAGTTTGCCAACCCAATGATGCTGCGGGATGGTGGCCAAACGCTGGTCAAGCAGAAATTTGAGGCTGTAATGATCCGTTTTTACCACAAACTGACGCCCCCATAGGTACGGCCTCCAATGGCGAATCGCGAGCACCAGGCCGATGAGTTCCCGTTCATACGCTGCCAGGGAGCGGTGACGTGGCGCGGCTGGCCGGCTAAAGAAAGCCACCGGGTGGTGGTCCTGAAGAAGGACGGCCCCGAAACCGTACGTCGATGCGTCACACTCGACGATGAACGGCCGTGTAAAATCCGGTAACGCGAGGACGGGAGCCGTGGTGATTGCCGTCTTGAGGGTGGTAAAAGCTGCTGCCGCCTCCGGCGACCAAGAGAAACCATCCTTGCGAAGGAGGGCCGTCAGGGGCGCGGCAACCACGCCAAAGTCCTTGACAAACTTGCGGTAGTACCCCGCAAGGCCGAGAAAGCCCCGAACCGCGCGCGCCGAGCGTGGTTGCGGCCAGTCCGCTACTGCCTGTACCTTTTCCGGATCCATGGCCACGCCTGCAGCGGAGATGGTGTGACCCAGGTATGCGATTGATTCAACGGCGAATGCGCATTTGGAGCGCTTGACGAAGAGCCGGTGCTGGTGCAGGACCGTGAAGACGGTGCGCACATGTCGGAGATGGTCAGCCCATGTCTCGCTGAAAATGAGGATGTCGTCAAAGAAGACGAGAACAAAACGGCGCAGGTATGGCCGCAGCAGATCATTCATGAGGGCCTGGAACGTGGCCGGCGCGTTGCAGAGTCCGAACGGCATCACCAGAAACTCGTAGAGGCCGTCATGAGTACGGAAAGCTGTCTTCGGGATGTCCTCCTCACGCATCCGCACCTGGTGGTAGCCGGAACGTAAATCGAGCTTGGTGAAGAAACGAGCGTGCCGTAGCTCGTCGAGGAGTTCGTCCACCACCGGAATCGGGAACGCATTCTTGACAGTAATGGCGTTCAGGGCGCGATAATCGATGCAGAAGCGCCAGGACCCGTCGGCCTTGCGGACCAGCAGTACCGGGGACGAGAATGCGGAACAACTCGCACGGATGATACCTTGGGCGAGCATGGCGGCGCACTGACGCTCCAGCTCGTCCTTGTGCGCGGCCGGGTATCGATACGGACGGACGGCCACCGGGGCGGAACCAGGTAGCAGGGTGATGCCGTGATCGCGGCTGCGGGGCGGTGGCATGCCGGAGGGGTCGGCGAAGATGCCGTCGAACTCGGTGATGATGGCGTCCAGGAAGTCGCGGCCGCTGCATGATTTTAGGGCTGGCCCGTCCGGTCCTGCAATGCCGTGCCAGCACACCCGATGGCCCCGCCGCCAGAATGTCATGGAGAGGGCTCGGAAATCCCACAGGATCGGTCCGAGCGACGCCAGCCACTGCGTGCCCAGGACGATGTCGTAGCCCGCGAGCGGCAAGGCGAGGAAATCCTCCGCGAACTCCTCGTGGCCGATGCGGAAGGGCACGACGCGGTACGCGCCCTGGCACGGAACGCGCTCGCCGTTGGCCACCGTGACGCGCATCTTCTCTGTGGTGGGGGGCGGTAACGTAGCACGAGCGGCCGCCTCTTCGGCGATGAAGTTGTGGGTGGAGCCTGAATCGATCAGGGCGAGGAGGGAGACACCTCCGAGAGTAATCTGCATCTGCATGGTTTCACTCGTGCGCACGCCGGCGATCGCGTGGAGCGAGATTTGAGGGTCGGCCCGCGATGCATCATCAGTGGCGGAGGCCGCGTCGTCGTCGTCGTCCGGCGCTAAGTCGAGGAGAAAGATGCGCTGGCACACGCGGTTGTGGCCCCTGCCAAACTTCTCGTTACAGTTGAAGCAAAGGCCCAGGCGACGGCGTTCCTCCATCTCTGTCTGGGAGAGACGCTTGATTGGGCGTCCGTCCGGCAGATTGTGGCCCTGCTGAGGTGCGGCTGGTGGGGCCGGAGCGGGGGGCGCGAGGCGTGGTCCTGGTGTCGGCAGGATGCCCTTCTGTGGAAAACGCACCGGTGGCGCGGCGGAAAGCGCGCACTGGTCGCGCAGCTCCAATTTGCGGGCGAGGCTCATGGCGACGGCGAGGGACTGTGGGTTATGGATCTCCACGTCGAGGCTGAGGGGTGGCTGGAGTCCCGCGGTGAAGATCTGCACTTTCTGTGTCTCGGATAAGGTGCCTGCCCGGGGAAGGAGTGCCTCAAACCGCTCCTGGAAGTCGACGACGGACGTCGTGCGTTTGCACGCCATTAGTTCGCCCAGCGGGTTAGCGCGCAGCGGTGGCCCGAAGCGGAGATTGAGCAGCTCGGAGAAGCGGCGCCACGGAGGTGTGCCCTCGTCGCGCTGGACCTGCATATACCATAGTTGGGCAGGACCCTCGAGATTATAGGACGCCATCCACACCTTCTCCTCCTCGGCGATCCGTTGTTGATGGAAGAAGGACTCGCATCTGTTGATGAAGGCGAGCGGATCAGACTTGCCGTCGAACTTGGGGAAGTCCATCTTCTGGAACCTGGGCGGCCGATCATTGTGGTGCTGCCCATCATGGGCGGCGGCAGCGCTGGACGAAGAGG